GAATTTCGTTGCTCTCTTGTTCGGGCTAACAAAGATCGGAACGCTGAATGAGTTCGAAAGAAAGTTGACATGCGAGCAAACATTCTTTGTGTTGGCTGAATTAAAAATGAATACAAGCGAAAGTAATTCAAAGAATAACGTAACAAGCGAGCTGCGCATAATGAAAATGGACGAATCAGTCGGAGTGAGATGAATTATATCGATGTGATGAAATATCTGCTTAGTTTCTTATGGAGTTGTTAAAGACTTTTCCACTCCGACGGCCAAAATCTGAATTATAATTTTTAAAATGGGTGAAGAGATAAATTGTTCGACAAATGATATTATCGACGAGTGTAAGAGGATGGAAATTTCTGCAGCACAGTAATTATTAGTAAGCTATTTTAAAATAAGATAGATAATTTGAAAACGATGCAAGCGACGTGAATTTGTGTGCGTAAGCTCATAGATCTGTTCTTAAACGTAGGCTTTATCTGGATAAGAATGAATTGGTTAGAAAGTACATATTCCAAAACGACGTGACATATTGTAAAAAGCTTTAAAGAGTAAACGAAATTATGTTATATATCTTATTCGGGGTAAAAGTTCGTTTTATTTCAAACGTTTTCACTAAATAATTTCCAATTGAAGTATTCGGATGTGTTATGCGTTTGTGAGATAATGTTACTATAGTGTACTATGAGCCTTCGAATTGGTTTTACACAATTTTAGTATTCTTATATTCCTAATTAAATGCTAGTGTTCTTTCATCGCGCCTGCTTTACTTGTACATTCTGAAATTAAAGTAAAAGTTCTGCCACATATGCAGAAACACGTTCCAGATTGTTACATTTAGAAATTGTGAAACAGCATTGCAAATTAATATTATCTCCAAAAAATATCAGCAAAATTTTTCAGAATGGTGATCTTATGATAACAGGAGTTGTGAAAATGTCGACAACACCCTATGATTATATTCAGAGACAAAGGCGTTTTTTAACGTAACATGAGCATCGTAATGTATGAGGCGTTCCAGAGAACGGCTTAAACGATATATTACTAAAGGAATGTACATAGAAAAAATGATGAAAAATACAAGCTTAAACCATCCTTTTAATGATGTTATAATCCAGATTTTGTGTTCATTAAAATGCTTCATTGATTGCTTTGCGAGAGGTCGGTGAATGGTATTTCATTATTGTTTTATCGTGCACCGTTTATGGAGTTATTGACGTTCGAATGGAATGTACATTCGTCATTCCTGCCTTAAACAATTTCAGTACACGACATCAATTCAGTTTGGCGCATATTCATCATTGATTTCATAAAACATGAGCACGTTTTGACATATAAACATAGACAATGTATTTTTGATCAGAATCCCATCAAAGGTATCCGCTAAGGTAGAACGTTGGTGTTATTAAACTTTTTCAGTGGTTTTCAGTATTTGCGGTGTGTGCTTTATATAATCACGATAGGAAAAATTAGGATAACAATGTTGGAATAACCAACGAATGGCATTTATGGGGCATTGATTAATTGGCCCTCTGGAATGCGTTTATTGTCGCGTAAAGCGTTTGGATAGTCGTCATTGTTTCCTGCAAAACATTGTATTCACATGAATATCGCATACCATTGTAATAAAAACTCACATTTTTTAGGTTGATTATAGAGAACTAAGAAGAAAACTTTCGACAAGTAGTAACTGACAACATTAAAGCATCAGACACGTAATTGCTTCTCCTTACTGTACAAAGAACAGTTTACGCCACAATATGATGCCTCATTTTTCTCAGTTATATTCATAATGCTTCCGCAAATGTTAGAACGCGAAGCAAAATTTAACATTTTATATCGCACACCTCTTTTTTTGCATTTCCTTTATGCATTCGTTCTGTCCAATTCAACGTTTTCTCGAACGCATATAGCGAGAAATAAAACTCATTTATTCAAAACTTACCCTGTATATTTCGTTTAGCACGCTGTTTTTACGAGTGGGGCGCTGATGACAGGGACGATAACCATGATGCCAACGATAACGACGGCCTGTTTTTCCGACGCGCTGGCTGGCTGGAGGTTCCAACTCGCGATGAAATTACGAAGCCGAAGAAAAAATCTGGAAGGTGCATTTTGCCGTCCGGGCCGGGCCGTTCTTCTGAGAGCCACTTCCGTCCCCATCCCCAACCCACCCCTCCCCGCCGTCGTTGACTCCAACGCAGCTTCAGGGGCGTCACGCGACATTAGCGGCGTCCCCGACCGTACGCGCGCTCAGTCGCCGCCGCGACGGCGAAACCCACAGCGACGCACAGTGGGCGGAAAGCGCGATATCAATGGACTCAGTTACAGTGGATTGCGTTCGAAAATAAACTGTTTTAAACACGCGCTAACTACGTACGCAGTGGAGAGAAAGCTATGTAATGCTACGCGAAAAGAACGGCTATGTAATGCTACGGCGAATTTTTGGTAGAAAACTCTTATTACCGGGCCTGATGACGATAAATGTATACAGTTGCTAAATTTAGAAAAAAACATCTAACACGTAGTGTATCCGTAATCCATGTTTTGTGGGTCCTTGATACCGAAAAATCGATTAACGGCTGAACGTCCGTCTGCTCGTCTGGATAACACTGGTGCTGGCGATGAGCTGATGCGCAAATATTCAAATAAAACTGTGCTTGCAACAAAGAAAACAAAACACTTTTATCTTTCCGCAGAAGGTTCTATTGACCTTAATATAACACAGTGCCCAGTTAATTCAGTGATGTGCATACTTGAATTATAATAAAGCGAATGTTAGTAAACCTGTCTATCGAATGATGTGACACGTGGTAATAGTGATTCAATTTTTGTTGTTGGGTTTGCGCAACTCGGCATATTGGCCTCATGTCACAACATTACATATTCATAAAAAATATCAACTTTTCCACTCGTATCACATGTAAAAATTCTTTACATATGTAATTGATTATACTACGCCTTCAATAGAGATGTATGTATTTAATCTACATCACAGTTAATTCACTAAAGAATTCAATTTTACATGATACAAAAACGGAAGCTCACAGAATCATTTGCATATTCGAAAATTCAACGATATTATTAATTTTCTAAAATTATTGCATTTTATGTGCCCGCTAAAATATAAGTTCAGAGAACTTAAGAAATACTTCATTTGTTGCCAATAAACGGCCACAAGCGTTTTTCGTAATGATAACTTTCATTTTACATACCCCCAAGTAAATATTTTGGGAAGTTTCCCAAAACACAAACGTGATCCAAACACATTGTGTTTATATACAACAGTATGTTTATTAAAAAGCAGTGAGTGTACACACTAACTGATAAATTGCACAAAGTTTTCAAGAGTTCTTCTACATTTTTGGAGATAGACCACATGACAATAGGAACACCACCATCGTATGGCCGGACGTATGTGACGGCAGGGGAGGGTAGGAATCTTATGCAAGGAACTTATCCGATATCCATTTGTAACATTAAGTCACAATAAAGTTTATGATTGCTTACTGATTCTGACTACCTGATATTGGTTTCAGTTATAATTAGTTGTAAAGTATACTTCTTGAAGCTGAAGCTGGTGTAAAGTATACTTCTTGGTATGTGCTTCTTGAAGACGATGACGATATAGCGTCCAATGACGCCCACCGTGCGCACAGAGGCCCCTGATCTCTGGCGGTTGCCTTGGCGAATCCTCTTCGCCTGCTCCCCAGAGCTTACTCCTCGAGGAGCGTCTCAAAATGCTTACGTCACGTCCGCGTGAATCGCTCGATGGCTTGAAAACCGGGTAGGGGGGATCAGAGGAGATGGGTTATTTACGAGACTTCGCAAGAGCTTAGCTACGAAAAGTTTCGAAACGAAACGGCCGTTTTAAAACTGTGTAGTCGGCTTAATACATCTCTTTCTAGCCATTTTTACGATGTGTTTTGCTTTCCGGACATTATTTAAATATTTTGGATAAATCTGCTGGAAATTTTGATGACAGAGCCGAAATGAAAGAATTTAGTTAACAATATGTTGGAGTATGTACAAACATAATGTTATTATGTAGATGTCACTAATAAACGTTTGTAGTTGATGCGACATAAAATAAATTCAAAATAAGTTGGTGTGCTTCAAAATGAAGTCTAGAAAGTGACAATACTAAATTTCACAGAGTTCTTGAGTTTAGATCAAATACATATTTCTTGTATGTGTCATTAAACGTTCTCACTACGATTTCCGATCCTTCCACAAAATTCTAAGAGAATTTTCAAAAAACTACTTTTTTGGGAAGGGGGGAGGCTAAAATTGTAAAACGCTACATTGGGTAGGCCATCTGTAATCAATTGCTTATTTGATTTCCCTCGACGAGACGTCGAAGAATACGTCTAAGTTTCGACGTTCGAAGACGGACAAGCTAGGCAGCTATATTTCGTTTAAAACTTATTTTATTAAAATCTTGCAAAACACAAAAGAAAATTTATGACACTTATGGATGAATTTTTTTTATCACACGCCGTGCTATGCTTGCTAAAAAGTAATAATGCAAATATACTCAGGCCAAAAGCATGACATTATATGCAGTAAAGCTCCAAGCTACCTATTTCTGTGGTCGTATTTAATGATGGATACTATTAAGTTATTTTCTACGACATTTATGTTGCAACTGCAATACCTCGTGTGTTCAAATTTTACTTTTTTATCATGAGAACGTCATTGCAAATGTCCTCACGTTTCCAACAGAAGTACTTCAATGCAATTTAACTATTACTTCCCGAACTGCAGCAGAAAACAAGATTTTTGTTGTTATATTTTTACTCTTGTTCCATCTTAATGCCTGGAGTTTGTGATTAACTGGCTGTGGTATATACTTGCATCTATTGCTGTTTTTATTTTATTGACACATCAAGATGTAATAGCGGTAAAGGTTTTCACGTTAAATGAGTGACTGGATGATGAATTGCGAACTAGATAATAAAGCATTATGATTATAACGAAGTGAACAAAATATTTATTAAATTTACCATCGCAGTCGTTCCAACTTGTCAACGTCATTCCAACTCGATAATATGATTCTTCTGACAACATGAGCGTCTGTTTCCTTTCTGTGAAATAAAAAAAGAACGTCAACTATTTAATAAACAATTTTCCCTGCAACATAATTACTACTAAAACCACGGTAGTTATTCCATCTCCTGAATCGTTGTTTCATAATTAGCAGGAAGGTCAGAGCAATATTTTTTTAGACAAAGCAGTGGTTGACTTATAAGAGAACAATCATTCGAAACTGTCAAACAACAGCAGGGAAATGTAACATCAGAGTGTTCCTGAATCGATATATTTTTACTGTGTTTTTGCGGTTTTGTGCTACTCCTTAGGAACAGATTTTCACCCTCGCAGTGATGGTTAATTATAGTTCATGACGAAAGATTAGAATTACTTGGAAACGCATCCTCACTAACACGTTGCGATGGTTACCTGTATATAACGATTATTTTATTTTTCAGTCTATTCTGAAATCATCTTTGTGCTTGTTAGCACCGCCGGCGACGGTAACCGAACTGCTTATTGAAATCACGGTTTTGCGAAGTACGAACATCGAGAATCACTGAATAGGTGATCACCTAGGAAGCCCAGATACCAACGGCATGAAGCCCCTGGCTGTTAGGTATTAAAGACATTATACATTAAGAGAAAATGACTACGATAAAAAAACGATTAATCTTTTTCAATACCGAATAAATAATGAAACAAAGAGTAAACGATTTTCAGAAAGATCATTTATACATTTTTACTACCAAAGAAAAAAATAATTCAGGTGTAAATAGTGTCCTAATGACATGATATCCTAAAGATAATAACATCGTAACAATAATATCGCAACGATGATATCCAAACCCCAACGTTATCCGAACTGTAAAGACGTTCTAACCCTAACGACGTCCTAACCCTAACGACGTCCTAACCCTAACTACGTTCTAACCCTAACTACGTCCTAACCCTAACTACGTCCTAACCTTAACGACGTCCTAACCCGAATGACGAACAAAACCTAACGAAGTCATAACCCTAACGACGTCCTAACTCTGACGACATCCTAACCTTAATGACGACCTAATCCTGTTGACGTCATAACTCAAATGATGTCCCATTTCTAACGATATTCTAATCATAATATAATAAACAATGATATTTTAACCCTCAAAATATACCAACCCTAATACTATCTCAACCACCATAATGTGCTTACCCTAATAACAACCTAGAACTACTATCCAACGTTTGTGCTTCTCATCCTGAACGACACCATCCTCTCCGCGCCACACGCGACATCTCGGAAGGCAGTGTAGAAACCGGTGTGTCGTTTCACCGCAAGGCGTCCCGCGCTTTCCTCGCCCCGCCCACGCAGCTTCAGCTCCTTCCGCCCCGTCTCCCCCTGCAGGGTTGAGCGGGGCGCACGGAGTTCATCTTTCGAGTTCAGCCGGCGAGGGAGGCGCGGAGAGAGCTTGGGCGGGGAAGAGAGGGGCGGAGCGGGGCGGGGCGGCGGCGGGGCGGGGCGGGGCGGGGCGCGGGCCGAGGCGGGCGTTTGCGCAAAATGGAGATGATCCTGATGAAGGCGGGGGCCGCGCTATGGTAATCTGGACGCCCTTTTTTCGCCCGTCGTGCCGCCCTCCGAGGGCGGGCCGGGACGCGCGCGGGCGGTTGCGAGCACATTAAGTGCTCGAGCGTCGCCCCCCACCCACACCCCCGCCGCTGCCGCCGCATCCGGATCCACATTTGCCTACCAAATGAAGTTTGCAATTATTGAGCGCCCTGCGAGTAAATTGTAGTGCTGTTAACCTCGGCCGAGGTGCGACCGCCGTGAGTGTGAAGGGCTGCAGAGGGAAGGGGATGTGAGACGGCGACGCTTTCAGATGGGCTTCCCCCTTCCCCCAAAAGCGCGGTGTTTCAATGGGATATGATCGGAACTAGAAGCCTTAGCAGCAAAAAATGCTGCTAAAACTGAACGACACTAAATGGTTCTTCAACAATTAGCACGCAACATTGCCTCAACAACAAAGAAAATATCTTCTATATCACTGCAACCAATAACATTTTACAAAAAAAACTGTCTTCGCGAATAATACAGTTAGATAGTATAGTAATAATGTATTAATATAATATAAATATAATATTATATAATATAAATATAATATAATAAATCTCCCTCTGAACTATAAGGATATAATATAATATAATATAATATAAATATAAATTAATATAATTATAATATCAATAAAATATAATATAATATAATATAATATAATATTATATAATATAATTTAATAATACTATAATGTAATACAGAATAGTATATACAACAGTTCATCACTATTAAAAATAAAAAAAAAGTGCCTTCAAAAAATGTAAACTCATTAAATATAAATTTTTTTAATGCGTACATACCTTCTTCTCTGAAAGCCTTGCTGTCGCATTAACGCAGGTCGAAGCAGTGACGTGGTGGGTAAAGTACTGAATATGATAATTCAGCGGAACACGTTAGTACGACTATTAGACAAAATAATACAATCCATTTACTATTGCATTTCAGACAAAATCGGAATTCTGTTTCATGGTTTGGATTTTTACATGGAGTTCCCCGGTATCTAACAGACAATGACCAAACCTCCATTACACTGCAGGCGCGCATTGTTTGTATTCAATTTTTGCAAGAATTGGACGTAGGTAAGGCAAGTAGTATAGGCAATGGTTGAGGTGTTAATAAACAGTGAGAAGAAATTCCGTCGAAAACTAGAGGTCTCGTTTACCGTCGATATGTTTGAAATGTTTGAAAACTATTCGGTTAGAACTGAATGATTACTGGACCAAATCTAAAGGACTAAGCAATTTGATCAGCGACACTCAACTTTCACATGTATGTTGCTACATGGAAAGAAGTGTGTTTGTGCTATACAACAGTGACAGCTGTTAAGCGATTTTATAAATTTTACAACATACTGCCGTATTCCCAAGACAAAAATATGATGATTTTGAATGTCAGGATGTTCTCATTCGTTGTTTGCTTCAAATGGAGCTACGCCAGTTATTCTACTGGTTTAGTTGACACCCCAGTCATGATGATATTTCCATGTACGCGATTGTCACCTACAAAAACCAGCGTTTATTTCTTCTTCGGCCTTGGGGCGCCGTCTGTGAGTTACTGTCCTCAGCTTTTGCCAAGGACGCCCGCGGCGGGCACAGAACGGCTTGCGCGCTGACTGGGCGCGAACAACCGCGGGAGGCTCTCGTTTGTCCGCAGCTGCTGCGCGACGCTGTAAACGCCAACTGCTCCTCGGCCCCCGCCCCCGTCGCCCGCCGCTCCCCGCGGCTCGCGCCCGCGCCTCTGTCCCTTGGTTTCCGGCGGGTCTTTGTTTCCCCACGAACCTGCAGCGCCGTTCGTCCGCAGCCGCCGCCACCCCGCTGTCGCGCCGCCTACTCTGTTCTGGCACGACCCATCCGCCACTGTCTGCGCCTCCGCGCCGCGATGTCCTTTTCCTCATGCCGCAGTGTTCTCCTCAACCGTGCCTTCAAACCTCCACTAAAGACGTTCTTTACCTCTGTTTGCGTCTCTCGGCGTCGTCTTTACTTCCATAGTTCATGCTTCCACCTTGGCATTTACTCCTTCTACATTTGTTTTCTCCTCAACCTTCTCTCCCGGTGTTTTGCCAGCGTCGTTTTCACTCCATATTCGTCGTTTCCCCTTGCATTTATTCGCCGTCTCTACCTCTTATTTCCTCAACATTTTTTTGTTCTCCTCATCGTCGTCTTCACTTTCACCTCCCTCGATGACTTCTCAGCCTTTCTTGGTCAACGCCTTCTATTTGGACACCTTCTCCGACTCCGACCACGACACCTTCTCCGCACCGCTCCGACACCCGACACCTTCTCCGACTCCGACACCGACACCTTTCTCCGACTCCGACACGCACCTTCTCGACTCCGACACCGACACCTTCTCGACTCGACACCGCCACCTTCTCGATCGACGCCACCGACACCTTCTCCGCTCCCGACAGCCGACAACCTTCTGCGGACCCCGACACCGGACACCTTCTCCGACTCCAGACAGCCGACACCTTCTCCGACTCGACACCGACCACCTTCTCCGACTACCGACACCGGACTCCGTACACCGACACCGACACCTTCTCCGACTGCGACACCTCTCCGACTCCGACACCTTCTCCGACTCCGAGCGAGCCTTCTCCCGCACTCCGACACCGTTCTCCGGACTCGACACCTTCTCCGATCCGACACCTTCTCGAGCTCCGACACCTTCTCCGACTCCGGTACAACCTTCTCCGACTCCGACCACCTTCTTCCGACTCCGACACCTTCTCGACTCCGACACCTTCTCCGATCCGACACCTTCTCTGACTCCTCTTCCGCCGACATTTTTTTCCTGGTTCCGCCTTCTCTGATCCCTTCATTAAAGTAGGCACTTCTTTTTTACAAACTCTCCTAAATTCTCTTCGACCTTAAAATCTCTACCATCGCCCTGCTATACTCCGGATCTACCACCCCCACTACCAGTGACGTAGCCTTACATCGTTCTTGAAACCTCCCCACATCCACGCCTCTATCCCTTCCCCGCTCGACTGTTCTCCATGTTTCTACCACCTCCCACGCGAAACAATTTCACTTCTACTCTTTGTTCCTACCGTCGCTGCTTCAGCCACCTGGCTTCATGTTCTTACAAATAACACCGCCCTCCCAACCTTGTCTCTG